CACATTTATTGAATGCCCAAAAGCACACCATTTAATGGTGCCCCACGTGAGGGAAAGTAAATAATAACAACATTAATACCAACATTGTTGTTGCTCCGTGTAAGGCAAAGTCATTAATAATAACATTATTTTGACGCCACGTGGAGCAGTGCACAACATACCCTTATACCTGAAACTTGATTATTTTCAGGAAAGTCAAAAACCTCTAGTAAGGATATTATATTTACCTACAGTATGTCAAGTAAGTTATGTTTTTGTTTCTGTTGCTTTTCTGCTAGCAGGGTAACACATAATCTACTGAATCATTTTTTCTTGAAACTTGGTGGAAGGGTGCGTGCCAAGGAAGAACCCATTTACATCTTTTGAGATTTTCACCAATGTTTTTGTGTGTGTGTATTCCACAAAACTGGTAGTATTTGTGCTATGATGTTGTCATAGATAATGGGCTTTTCAATATTCATGTTATTATCAGCAGTGTGACAGTGCTTTTAAGTGAAATGAAGACAAAAACTCACAATATTCCATTACAGGTACACAAGTGTATTATTTTGTTTTATTTGTATATGCAAGCAAGTTTATATCTTTACAAATAAAAAAGACACTGTCTGCCCAAGCTGTTGGCAAAGATATGTACAAAAATGAAAGAGTGAAGAAGATAAGTCTGCTACTAAGCAACCAGAGTGAAGTATAAAAAGTCTTGAATATCATGGAGAGACAAAAAACTCCCACATTCTAAATGTCCAAACTGACAGAATGCAATAATGGAAAACATGATGATCGAATTTAAGGTCACAGACCACAGCTTCATCGATTTTTAGATCTGTGATTCAGTTCACAATGAACAAGAAAGGACTTTGTTCAGGCAAAGGAAATCTGACTTTTCATCCTATGATACGCAGCTGGGCTGCAAACACAGAAGGTCAGATTTTGTGTGCTTTATCTCACTGACAGGGCCAGTTTTTCTGAATCCTGACATAATTGGATTTGTGGTCAGGATAATGGAATGTTTGAGTTGATCCAACGTCAGCTGTGGTCAGCAAGCAGACAAGAAAGCCGCAGGATTAGTACATGTCAATACACATATTCATCTTTACAAAGAGACAAAGTAAAGGAGAAAGAAAGAAAGTAAGAGCAGCTAACATTCTCTAACTGGTTTAAACAGCAGCTGAATCTTCTTGTGCCTGTTCAAACAGTAATTCATTTATATTTGGTGATTTGGCTACATTTAGGCCACAGTGACACTTTCTAGTAAGCATCACTGTGTTCTGCTCAAACTGCTCAAGAAAATATTTTTGAGATAAATTTACTTTGGAACTAGCTTGAATGATTTATTTTAGCCTCCTCAACGTCTGTTACATATGGTGCTCTGGATGTTTGAGCTGTGTTGACTACGTTTGTTGCTTATTATTTGAAGCTGTTACTTATGCATCGGTGACTCTCGTTTACACATGAAATGTCAAAGCACATCAGCACAGAAAATCAGACGAGTCACGTTCAAAGTCAAATATGGTCACAAAAATCTGAAGCGGACATGAGCGGCTGTGGTGAGACAGTAGCCTTTATGCCCAGACAGAGGAAGAGGATGTGAGCAGAGATGAGTGAAGGATAATGGGTGGCCAGAGCAATACATTACACCATGTTTGCAAATCTGCTTTATTAGCATAAACGATAACAACGTGATCATTTCACTTAGGACATAATAGATGATTCATGCATTTGTATGCCAGCAATTTATGGGAATAAATTGCTGGCATTTCTTGCAAACTGCTACAATTTATTGCTCTGGTGGTAAATAAATGAACAAGCAAGCAAGCTTAGCAACACCAATATCAAGAAGAAACAGCAAAACTCCACACTGAAAGGTTTGAAACAAAAAAAAAGCAGAGCAGTGCCAGTGGGAAATATTATTATTTTTGTTTTAATCGTTAAAATTATGACCACTGAATGCATAACCATGCCACAAACAACAACTAGATTTTCTTTCTTTTTTTTCAACCTAGTACAAGATTATCATCATTATTATGTATTCATTCATTTTCATCGTTATTTCTTCAGGTTAATACCAATGCTGCAAGACTATACATAGGTCCCACAGTGGGGAACTCAATGCATTTACACACCAAGAACAAGAGAGAGAGAGGGGTCAATAAAAGCACAAAACACAATATTTTCTTTTACCTGATGTTAAAAACATTGACATGACACCCATTGTCAGGCAATGAAATGACAGAATACTGTTACTGTAAAACTAGACCCTTAAAAATACTGACTGTACGCAGCCAAGACAACCCCTGAACAGGCCACTAGTCTGAAGGAGTCTCCCATCCCATCTATACTGATGGTACTTGTTTTATCATTTTTTACTTTTATGTGTCAAATGCAGCTGCATATACACAATGCAAAGAAATGTATTTGAACTCTGTTGTACCACTTTCATACTGGAAGAAATGTGATGCCACGTGATTTTATGTCGGTTTGTCAGTATTTAACAGACACATGTCAGATTCTGTCTAGTCTAGTCATGATACTGGACCGATATGCTTTTTATAATTAATGTGAAGATTTTATCATTTTTATCAGAGCCATACTGTGAAGGGCAATCTATTTAATTCAGCTAACATACTTAATACCATAAGAACATCATCTCGCAATGGCCCAGAACTTGATGATCTGCGGCACACACTTCTGTTTTCTGTGTAAATAGTTTTTCATGTACAGCAGCTGCTGCTGTGTTGCAGAGGAAGCTCATACAATTCCTGTGTGTGTTAATGCAGCTTTCGTAGAAGGGAGAAGCTCCGAACATTGGGAATGAATCACCCCCCTCCAGACTCCGGACCAGGAGAAGATCATTATCTTGACCTCTCACCTCAACTGTTGCACATACATGTATATCTTTATACAGACTCATTTTGGGTACAGTTCTTGATACTGCACACAAAAAGAAAAAGAAAAAACATTTTTATTCTTCTTATTAAATGGTTTCACATTTAAAAAGATTAAGAGATTAAACGTTGATAGTAAAATAGTGAAATGATGTTTGTAATGAAATAATTATGGCTCAGAGGGATGTTGTGGTGGAGTGCATCTGTGTGTGTTTGTGTGCTGGTATATTCTTTAAATTTAAATCAGTCATTCCCATCTTCATCATCTATTCAGGAATCATTCTGCAGACAAAATGGATCTCTACTGGCTGAATCACCTCTTTCCTTCACAGCTACAACCAGGACAAACACATACAATCATCTTATTCTAATGGCTGGGTCAATTAAATTTAACGTTGCATACAAATGTAACCCCTGTAAACTGGTGACAAGTTTCAATCAAATTTATCCCTCCAGAGGAACCAATATTATCAAGTTTTATTAATAAAGGTTGAAACAAGTCTAAGTGCAATTTTAAAGGAGTTTAGGCTTAGTGTATACACAAATTAGTGTGTATTTGTGTGTGCAGAACCACTGAAATACAGTGATAAAAGTCCAATTTCCACACACCTGCCCCTTTTAAAACCCCAATGCCAAAATTACACAATGCCGATTAAAATGGCAAAACCCAAAAAGTGAGAAAAAGACATTATTCAACAAAGTGATGAGAATAGTACACATGTCAAAAAACGTGCTATTAAGATGTGTTGTTTCTGAGGACAAAGTTCATATAAACTGGGGATGAAAGGGACAGGGGACGCAAAACCTCAATGGCCTCTGAAATTCTTTAACTTTTACTCTGATGACAGAATAATTAGAATTTATAAATGATCTTCAGAGTACTTTGTCAGTCCATAATTGGTCTAATAATCATGATCACAAAAAAAATAAAATAAAAATCATCACAATTATCACCACCTTCTTAAACATTTCAAGAATTTCCTTTCAAGAATCACTTATTTTGTTACATGCCACCTTCAGTATGTGCAACAAGTATGTGGAAAAAATAAGTCGTCTCAAGATCAGAAGGTGACAGATAGGAGAAAGAGAAAGTGGTTAGGTTGGATGAAAAAGTAGAGAAGGGTAGGACAAGTTAGCAACCCATTTGTAACCAGGGGTTACATGTTTCCTCAATGACTACACTTCTCTGCAATACCAGTCATCATTGAGTGGTGCGACACAGCATGACACCACCATACAACACTAACTGCACCACACCAACCATTCAGCCACATCTATGTGTGTGTGTTAGAGAGGGAGAAAGAGAGAGAGATAATGTATGGATGAATCACGTGTACGTTGTACAGCAGGTACAGGGCTGTTCAGCAGGAGTGGCTCCCATATTAAATGATGAGCTCATTGACACCAGACTCATGCACGTATCTGCTGTAGATTGTTGGCCTTTGTGTGTTATGCTAACAGCTTGTTATATGTCTATGATATGTTTCTGTGACAGCTTATTTGCATGCTGAGCAATGGTGTAGTTTGCTGCCACAACTTTTGCAGTCTTTAAATATTAAAAAATCCATGGCAAATTCCAACTCAGGATAATTTAATCAGATGATTCAGGAAAACAGGGACCAAAGATGGAGCAAACTCACATGATGATTTTAGCATAGACCCCCCAGAGCCAATGATCTACTGCTGACATGAGGATGATATTGGTGTTTGTGTACAGTGATAATTTGTTTGTTAATGTCTACCAGCTTGTGACTGTATCTGTGTCTGATTACATGTTTTTGTTGTCTTTTTCATCAATGTATACATTGTATATCTCTGATTGACTTAGGCTTGTATCGTGCCCTTTGTGTCTGTGTGTGTGTGAGTGCCTTTGTGCGCATGCATTATCATTGTGTGTGTCTGACAGAGATGTTTATGTGTAGGCATTAAGGCGTTCTTTGGAGCGTGTGGAGTGGATGTCATGCAGCTCCTGTTCCTCCTTTGACTTGATGTCCTCATACTTTTGCATCCGACTGGCATCCTTCAGGTAGCCCCAATTAGCAGCTAGAGCCATCAGAAAATGGACCTGGAGGACGAGTCAAGGTAAACATTAAAAATAGTACACATGGAGTAAACCAGACAACAAGGCACTAGTTTGATTTGGTATAATGTTCACGTTGTACCTGTTGTACCTGAAGTATTATGAGTAAGTGAGTGCACAGGGCACCACTGAATTGTACAAGCAGATAATGATACAATACAAAATCAACCTCACATTGTAAAATGAAAATACATTTTCACTGCAAAATAACAAAATGGTTTTTCAAAGACTAAATAGTAGTTCAACTGCACTTTGCGACATAAACTTTACAACAGTGCACACAGACAACAGTCGTTTGTTTGGGGGGGACCCATGCAGCCTAATGGTTGAGGCAACTACCATTGAACTGCAACATGAATTTTTTTAAATAGCTGCAGATAACCAAATGCCTCCATAGCTACATGTATATCTTGCGGACATACATTTTGGAAATATGAGACTCTGCGGTTCTGGTTTGGTCTACAGAACTTCATCCTCAACACTGTCTAGAGTCTTTTTTTCCCAATAGTGTGTTCAATGAAAAAAGATCTCTAAACCCAATATAGATCATACCATCATTGGTTGATGCTTTGTTTACAACTTGTTTATGCTGCCTCCAAATGGCCACAAGCTTGTAAGTCCAGGTTAAAATTTAAATTTAAATTGAAGTACAATATATGATCTTTGTCTATTTTCTAACTTATATTCCCAAAAGCAGCGTGGGATGAAAGTTGTATTTGGAAAAAAGCTTAGGAAAACAATCACTAATGATTTCTAAGAACAGTTTAAGACAACAGCAGCAAAGCAGGAATAAGCAAGTAGAGAAAATGAATGAATAATGAATGCTGTATGTGCTGTGCCTGAACGCACCTCATAGGAAGCTTTGTCTTGACTATGGAGTCAAGACAAAGCTTCCCCTTGAATCAACATTTATCAAATCTACACTTATTTTTCGTACTTGATCAAGTAATATACCAGATTAAAAACGCAATCCCTGTAGCGAGGAGTCAGATCTCACTGACCAGATCCCAGGATCTTGAGTTTCAGACAGTGTCAGAACTCACCAATCAGATCTCAGGATCAGTGTACGTTACCTGCTTTGGCCGCTCTCGTTAGCATAGCCTCTACTCAACGTCACTTCTGCCCAATAACACTGGCTGAATGCAACAATCACATCCAGTTCACCTTATATTTCTATATTTGACTACTAAGCTAACTGTTGGTACCTGGTATCTGTGAACCATAGTTGGGCCTACATGTGTAGTCAAAAGCCTGACAGCATGTCTGCTTTGTTCTGGAGACAAAGGAGAGCTTCCAGGACTCAGTATCCCAGGGTGCTTCATCTTCACACATAGGTGGTAAAACTGCTCCTGGAGACAACTCTCAACCACTATTGGTCACTGTGTGCCCCATGACCCATGAGGTCACAAGGCCAACATAAGCCGAGTTTCCCCTCTCCTAGCTCTCTTCTCTCTTCTCTCTTCTGCCTCTTCCCCTGCTGACCGCTCCTGGAGGAGTAGGTTCTGGCCCTGCTCTCCCAGTCAGGGAGACTTCCTCCCTACACAAGCTCCTCAACTTCCAGCAGGCCTGCCTGGAGCAGACCGCTAAAATCCTTACAAAGGCAGCGACGCGAGAGCCAGCTTAAGAACTTCAGCACAACTGGCCACGACACAAGGTCTGACCAGCAGATGCACAACAGGATCCAAAAATCAACATGACCACTTCACTGGACTTCAAACAGCACAACCAAAAAGTACCTTTCCCTCTTTTTCATGGACGGGTAACACAACTGGGCTTTATTATTATGCTAGGCTAAGTAAAGGACTGTTTAATCCTATTTGTATTTCATGTGATGTTTATAAGTTCGACTTGTGTTGTTGTGACATTTGGGAATATGTTATCTGAAAGTTAATGTTAATTCTGTTATGCTGATCACTTTCTTTGCATGCATCTAACTACTTTCTTTAACCTGGCACCAACACCTCACACATTCATCTCCACAAACCTAACACCTACATGTGATCTCAGCCACATGGTCTCACCACTCCAGGGGGCCTTTTGTCTTCAGTGGCCACCCGCCATTTTGAATCTCAGTCACTCACTCACACACACACAAGCACACTCGCATAAACATCTGCATATAGTAAGTACACCTTTTGTTAGTTTCTGTGTTTATACTTTTATTATTCTCATAATAAATGTTTTTCTTCAAAACAAGTCTTAGTTAATGTTGCATAAGTGTGAACCTCTACACTGTCAAGAACTCCATATCCTTCAACTTTGCTAGCTATTGATGTGGTAATTTTGGTTATAGTTATTTATTAATCAGAGTTCCAAATTTGTAGTCAGTAATTTCATGAGACTTATTCAATAAATTGGATATCTTTTGCCTTCCTTTGAAGGGTGGTGCCCCTATTTATCTTTTATCAGTTTAATTATAATTTAATATTAATATTTTTAATATTAATATTTTTAATATTAATATTTAATGTCTCTCGCCCTGCGTGAAGGAAAGTACATAATCGTACCCTGCACGAGGGAAAGTACATAATCACAACATTTGTGGTGCCCAGTGTGAGCCAAAGTCATTAATAAAAACATTATTTTGACGCCACGTGGAGCAGAGCACAACATAACAAAACATCATGCCATCCGTGCCTTGCGGCTGTGCCTCACTTCAGAGCAAATAAAAAAATTGCTGACCTTAAGGAGGATATCCGGAGGCTTTCGGATGAGCTACAGAACAGAGACTCCGTCTTGAGCAGCTTTATTGACGAGCAGACCAAAATACTCGAGGCAATTATCCCTGACACAGTTCTTTGGGAGCCCTCCACTTGTCCTCAGCTTTCATCCTGCTCTACTCCAAATCAACAGTCCCATTGGGCTGAGGTCGTAGAGGGGCTCTGCAGCACTTTATCTCCCGTCTCAGGATCAATCAAATTAAATTGAAATAATCTCCAGGGTAGACCCCTATCATTTTTCGGCCCCTAATATTAAAACAGCTAAAAATCTAGGTGTCACATTTGATTCTCATCTAAACTTCAAAACACATGTTAATCAAATCATTAAATCTTGCTACTACATCTACAAAACATTGCTAAAATCAAATCAGTTCTTTCTCTGTCTGCAGGGGGCAGAGAGAGGGGGATGACATGTGGGCACCCCACTGCTGCTCATATTTTAACAAAAACAAACCGTAGGTCTCATATCATGCCAATTCTTGCATCCTTTCATTGATTACCAGTTAAATTCAGGATTTAAGATTCTTTTAATAACTTTTAAAGCTCTTGACTCCCTATAACCCTGGTCATAACGTGAGATCGGCCAACCTGTCCCTGTTAGCTGTCCCTAGGTCATGGCTGGCTACTCAAGGTGACCGGGCTTTTTCTGTCAGGGCCCCGAGGCTCTGGAACTCCCTGCCAGATGATATAAGGCTTGCAAACTCACTACTGATCTTTAAATTACTGCTCAAAACTTATTTTTACAGGAAAGCATTTCTAACATGCGACTTGTAATTACTTTCATTCCAATAATCAGACTTATAAACTTGTAAATGTATTTCCTACTGTGAGCTTTACCCACAAGTTGGAGGGCATACCAGTCAGTGCCAATAAGTACTGATTCTCACCATGGCCATGACAGCAGCTCCTGCTCCTGCCAGTGCGCAAACAAACAGATGAAAGGTCAAGTCCAGCTGCAAAACACACAATACAGCTGTCATTTGAAGTGGAGATTAATTTGATTTGATAAGTCACAAACCATTATATTTTCATCTAAATTACATCAAATACAAAGGTAAAGGAAAGAGAAAACAGCATGATCCTGCTTCCTTATCTCCCGGGATTCTCTTACCTCATTGGATTCACACATCTTGAAGAACTTTTCAGATCCTGTACACACCTTCCTCTCCTCAGAGATAGTCACTGCTCCTTAACAAAGAAAAAAGAAAAACTATATCATCAGCAGAAACTGTGACCATCTCTCCTCAGAAATGTTCAAGGCTACTTAACAAAGAAAAAAATATATAATTGGCACAACCTGTTGCTGCATGCATCCATCTGTGGCATGAAGGGTGATGAAAGAGCATTTAAACTAATTACAGTTTTCCCTGGGAGAATGACCCCCATGTGCTCCTGTTGAGTGTATAATCCCCAAAAAATCCCCTGAAAATCAATCAGTTTGCTTACAGAGGCTCATTTGTAGTTTCTATGTTTGTACTGCAGAGGGCAGTGCTTACAGAGACTGTGTGTGTTGGCTTTATGTGGAGAACCGGGAGACCCAGTTTAAAGGAAAAATCCAGACACATTTAATAAGGGAGTTATTGCTCCTACACAGACACATAGATTAAGACATATCCTCCCACAGGGTTTTAAATGCACCTGTTACTTACTCATTAACACAGGAAAACCTGGGTTGACTTTCGCGGTCTCACAACGCTGGCTATAGAGTTGATAAGCAGCGTTGTGTGACCACTTTGCCTGACTGCTTTTGTCAGGTTATGTTCAGCCAGATAGCTGAAAGATATCCTCGGTATGTTGAGCTTGCTTCATAGTACAGGACCTGGATCACAGTCCCATCTGCCTAATATCTGGAAATTCACAACTGAGACAAACACAGACATTCTGCCAATGCTAATCAAATGAAGCATTGTGTTAGTTCATGCAGGACACGGAGTCATGTGCTCAGCTGTCATAAGCTGTCAGACACTGGCTGTTTATGTGTCCTACATCAAAGAAGAAGCACAGCATCGCAGTCTCCGCTAAAGCCATTGTGGTTGCTCAGGCTAGCGCTACCATCCACATCGTGCTTATCAACATCCAGTCCTCCCATCTGCATTTTTTGCTGTGAGTACGGCAGGTAGCGCAAAAACCTCTGGGAAGTGCAGTTCCTACAACTTCACCAGGAGTCCCATTCTTCCCACCTGCTGCTGCAGCGTCACCTCAGCTTCGCAATCAAATCTTTGCAGTTAGTGCAGAGACGGCCACCTCGGGCCTGCGTGTCCTCGCTGCACACGTCTCTTAAAAGATAAGTGACTAATGTATCAGAGCTTGGCAAAKCTCTAAAGAAGAACCCAAATCGCTGTTTTGTTTATTTATTATTACTACTCTTTAAAAAAGATAGTCTTAGGCATCTTATTAAGACAGCAACCTTATGCAATCATCACTACCCCAGTGCGAATTAGAGAAGCCATGAATAGTGAGCTGGATGCAACATCCATTACTAAAATGGTCTTAATTGGGTAAATTTAATTTCGCCATGCATATCATTCCCCAAGGCAGATCACTTATCTCTAGATTATTGGACCTCCGACAAATTGTGGACAAACCGCATGATTTTGTAGAAGAACGTAGATTTGATCCAAAATAAATAAAAAAAACAGCATATACATATATATATATATATATATATATATATATATATATATATATATATATATATATATATATATATATATATATATATATATATATATATATATAATTTTTTTTTTTTCTCTACAACAAACAGTATAAACATCACTCGCCATCAGATTCTTTACTGACTGCACCTTCTGTCAATTTTGGGGGATCTACAATAATGAGCAGTTTTGGCCGAAGAACTGCTTGATCTTCCCTCTTTCGTCAACCCACTGCTAGAATTATATATAGAATTATACCCTATTATCGTTGCTTGCATCTCTGGGGCAAATCTAGTCAAGGAAACAAATACGTTTCTGCGATAACGAAGCAACCGTGCTTTTATTGTTCTCTGTTCAAATCTCGAAAACATTCAACCTTCATCAACCAAAGCTTTCGTCGAAGGTATTCAGTGAGTTAAGACGCATAGATCCTTCAGTATGTAGCCTGCTCAGGAATCCCTCCATTCGTCTCCTCCTAAATGGCCTTAAAAAATAACATCCAGGAAGTAACAATAAGTGCCTTCCACTATCTTTGCCTTTAGTGCACAGCTGGTGATCAACTTAAGGCTCAGAGTTTTGGTCATGTGTAGATGCTTTATTAGAAACCATATTTCACAGGTTCCTCAGGCACAGGGAAATCACTACCCCCTCGACACTTGGATGTTCTCAATCCACCTGTAACACTCAAAATCTGATAGAGAGGGAAAAGGTCAATGTCGTCATATCACAACTGACACTGCTTCTGTCCCCTATCTTTAATAACACAACATCCTCAAGTGATGCAAGACGAACTCCTGTTACCTACTGACAAAGGACAGACCATGTCAGATATAAAATAAAGCGGACTCCCGTCCCCGTGGTACACCTCGCACTCCTTTTGCATCGGTGCTGCTGCTACCACCGCTGCTGCCCTGGTCTCTGAAATCCACAGTGAAAGCCATGGGTCATGGTCTTCAGCACCCTTCGAGTGTCTAGTTCACCCAGGACAGCAAATCTTTCAGTCATTTGCTTGCTGCCACACACGGATATTCCAAATAACTGTAGTACAACCTCTTGCAGAATGCATACATGCATTCTTTAATAATAATTTTAGACGTCTGTAGCATGCTGCTGCTATAGACATTCCACTTAACATAGTATGACCTCTCGCAGGATGCATGCCTGCATTCTTTAGATTCAAGTTTTTTTTGTCATATGCACAACAATTACATTTAACAGTATCCGGCAATGAATTGCTTGAGTCCCAGGTTCCCCTCTAGCCATACTCAGAAATTACACAAGGAAAAAATATAATATAACAAAT